CTGCCATTGCCTTTGGCACTGGTGAAGCGGCCACACTGCTTCGTCTTCTGGTCGTTCTGGCATCCAAACGCAGCTGCTTGCGTAGCGGCGAGATGCGCTTTGAGGATGTGGCCGAGTCCGAGGATTGCGAAGAGGTCGCCGGCGTTGCAGCCAGCGACTTGCGGAGCACACGCTTGCGCCCATTGCGCAGAGGCGTTTGGATCTCGAGGTGTAAGACTTTGCGCTGCACAAGAAAAACGAGGAAAATTAAAAATAGCAAAAACAAAACAAAATGGAAATTAAAACGTAATTAAAAACCGGATGCGAACTAGAGCTAAATAAATAGCTAAGTATATCTTAAGAGTGCTAAAAATGCTCCATACAACTTTGTATAAATAAACAAATATACATACATATAGCATGCTTTGGTGGTCGTTGAGCAGAAAGAAAACAGCGTTTTGTTGTGGGATGTTGTTTGTTGTTTGTTTTCAAAAACGTGTTCTTTTCAGATAGTCAATGCAAATTGCGAATCGTTATTCATTTGCGCTTAAATTAAACAACTTTTCTTCGGTTAGCAATCAATAATTAAAGGCTACGATTTAAACTAAACTTAATTCGTGTTTGTCTTGCGTCGCCCCGGGGTACCTACTGCTGCATCTACTCCTACTGCTACTGCCTGGAACTGTCTGGTCTGCCGGCTTTGCTTAGAGCTGCAAGCGCAAGCGCGCGGTACTCACTTTGCTGCCCCCCGCTGGCGTATTGCGTGTCCCGTTTGCGTTGCGGTTGCGCATCGAGCGCAAACGTAGGCGACTTTCATTCTGTGCTGTGTTCGCAACTGGCGACGCGGCTGTGGGCGAGTCCACGATCACATCCGAGTCGGAGTGCTGCGCAAGAAGGGAAGGAATTAGCGGCTGGGATTAGCATGAAATCAAATTAAATAAATGAAACTTACCTGCTCTTCAGCGGGCAAAACGGCAATCACGGGGACATCGGCGGCGACAGTAGCTTCCGCTTCCTTTTCCGCTTCATTTTCCACATCCACTTCCACATCAACCTCAATATCTGATTCTTCTGCAGTTTCCGGCGCTTCAGGCTGCTTTTCGGGCGTCTTTGAGGCACGCGCAATCGCCTTTTCCAGACGCTGTTTGGTTTTTTCTCTGCACAAATTTCGCCGACTAATTTCCTTGATCTCCTCTTGTTGCTGCTGCTGTTTCTCGAGTGCCTCGGCATCTGGCGCTGACGTTTGGGAGCCGCAATTGCTTTCCGCATCCGAATGACTGATAGAATTGTGGAGCGAGCGCCGCAGGAAGCGTATGCCTACTTGATTGTTGGCACCAAAAGTGGTCATCACGGGCTCGGTGGCTACTGCCACCGTCGAAGGCGACGTTCTTGTCGAATTGGCTTCGGTTATTGCTGCTTCGGTTAATGTTGCAGCCTCCGTTATGACCGTGGCTGCTGCAGGTGGTTCGGTTTCGGGCGCTGCAGACACTTGCGTTGGACACTCTGATGTGGACGCTGTAGTGGCTGTCACGCTCTCACATTCTTCAGCATCCGCTTCACTTTCGTTGCCATCAGGCTTGCGTGCGGGCGGATTGAAGCTGCCGTTAAGCATGTCCTTAAAGTCCACAATGTTTTTTATCATACGTGGCTCTAGTTCGCTCTGCAAAAGGCATTTAATTAAAGAAAAATCAACATATGTGTTGAGTCTACTTACACTGACCAGCTTGTCGGCCAGTTCGAGCATCTCATCCTTCATCTGGGAACTATTGAGCACATTCAGCTTAAGCGTGGTCAGCTCCTTGGCCAACAGGCGGCACATCTCTTTGCGCTCCGTGTAGTAGTTGTGTATATAATGCAGAAAGCTGATCGCAATCCGATTGTGAAGGTTATTCTGTGGCTTACTCGTCTCTTGCACTGTGAGATCAATGAAGAACTTGGTCACATGTTCGGGCAAGACATCGTTTAGCAGCGAATCGTAGCTGCAGTTCATCACGGACCAAACAATGGGTAGCAGGCAAGGCTCGAGCAGGTGCTGCAGCTTTTGCGTCACAATATTCTCAAAGAACATACCCAGCACCTGGCTAATGATGGGCTCTGCACAAAACATACAAGGAATTTAGAACGAGTTGACAACAGCATTCAAATTATTTCCTGCTTACCTGTGTTTGGATTAAAGTAACGCTTGAGCAGCTTCTCCAGCACATCGGTGCGATTGTCCAGATGTCCGCGCAACACCAATCGACACAGTCCACGCACAATGGCCAGCAGGATGCCCTTGTCGACGACCTTTTCGACAAAGAAGCCCATCATGCTGATGATGTCCGTATTCTGATCGTTGCCCTGCGATTGACTTCTGTCCTCCTCGCCGTCAAAATCCTGCATGGTGAACAGCAGGCGGCGTTTTGATTTGGGCGCCAGTCCCTGTCCCGCAACGGACTGATTTAGGTCCATGAAGTAGTCCACGCCATAGTGATCCATCAGCTCGCACACGCATTGTGCAGATATTTCGCAGAGGCGCAAGTTGTTGTTCTTATAAAACTCGTCCACGAGCACATCGAAGACTTCCTTGGTGTACGCCTCGTACAGAATACTAAACGTGGTGCCGCACTTGATGGCCCACTCGAATATGTCCAATTCCGTCGAAGCCAAATGCCGGCAAATGAAGTCCTGCAGCGAAAATTAAATTAATTTTAGTTTTTAATGGGTATATAATGTTTATTACCTTGTAGAGCTTGCAGATGCTGGGATTCAGAGTGTGTACATGCTCGGAGGCGACCATGTAGAAGGATATGTACAGGCCCTTGAGGACGCGCTCTTGCTTGGATAGCTTGGGGCGCGTCGGCAGCTCCAGTTCGCCATGTTTCTCTAACAGCGGCTGGATTAAATCCCTGTACTCATCCGTCACAGTCATGCGCTCATCGTTGACGGCCTGCGCACGCATATACTCTTTTTGTCGCACAAAGTTCTCCTCCATTTCCTCGAGTTCTAGAATTTTCACCTTCAGCGATCGAATCTTCATGACCAGCGATGTTTCAACATTGTCGAGCAGCTTATCCGTTAGCTCACGATCGTGCACAAAATCATTCTGCTTGGCATTCAGTTCGCATATCTCGTAGATGATTTCGATAAAGTACTGCATCCGCGTGGCCACATCACTCACCAGCTGCTCCGCGCAGCGTACCAGCACGGCCACAATCTTGTGATCCAGCAGGCATTCCCTCAGCAGATGCGTGATCAGCTCTTTCAGATTGGCGCGACCAATCTCATCGCCCAGATCGTAGGTCTGTAGTATTTCCACCAGTGACAGCATCATGCTCTGGAACTCGATCTGTGCAAATTTGTCCATATCCGGCTTCTGGAACTGACAGAACCTGTGCCGATACCAATTGGTTAAACACTCTCCATGCGAATTAACTGAACTTTCAAGCAACTTACTTTTTCACATAATCGCAAAAGACACTCAACTCGGGCAGCACCTGCTCGAATTCGTCGGCCTGCGTCTGCTGCAGGTAGCCACTGAGGCATTGCCAGTACAGAACAAGCTCGACGGTGAGTGCCTCGTGCGGCACGCACCGATGCAGATCACAGTCCTCGGTCAGCGGCAGCTGGGCGAGCAGCTCACTGTTGGCGGTCTGCTCGAAGATCACGAACAGCATTTGGCGGGCGACACGTCTGAAGCGCATGAGCTCCTCCTCGTTGGAGTCGAGTTTAAGCGCAGCTGTCAGCTGTATATAGTTCTGCTGGTACGATTCGATCCAGGCCTTGAGCATATACTTGATGACATTCTTGCGCACATTCTCCGAACTGTCGTTGAGTCCACGCTCGAGCAGCGTCAGGCGCTGTGACACTTTGTAGGAGCGCACCGGATAGTTGCACATGTTGATGTACGTGTGGCGTCGCACCTTTTCGTCCACGTCCCAAAGGCGCTGCAGTATGTGTGGCACAGTTAGATAGTTGCGGCCCATGCACGAGATGATGCACTGCCGTACGCTGGACGACGGATCCGAGCTTAAATGATATTGATAAGCGCACAGCACCGGATCGTTGGGATGATCCGGTACCTGTAGTCGCTGCATGGCCAGCACCGCCTCCTTGCGCACGCTGGGCGATATGTCCTTCAGCCGATCCAGCATATAGTGGAGAATCTGGTCGCATTGCGAGTCATCTAAAGCCGCATACGGCCCTAGATGTTTCAGTATGAGATTCACGAAGAAACAAATGCGATAGCGTATGTGCGGGCTATTGGAAATTGTCTGCGAAACACAAAATGTAAACAAACTATACGATAAGAAAGTACAGTAAACACACACCGATAGTAGCCAGCAGAAGGTTTCGGCCAGTATGGGATGTGTTTTTTCCGACTCGAAGCTGGTGACGAACTTGGCACAGAATGCAAGCGCCGTATTGCCATACTCGTTGCCCTCGTCCGCCTCCAGCACTGTCTTGAACATTTTGATGAACGTGAACATGAAGGCGTCGTGGTCCAGCTGCAAAAAACAGGTCCAAGCATGTTAGTTGTTAGAGGGTGTTACAACGGGAACTGCAAACTTTGACTTCGCACTGCCCCCCCCTCCTCGGTAACATACCTTCGAGTACAGTTGCTTCAGCTCTTTGATGTAGCGCTTGTGGAAGGTCTCGTTAAGCTGTGCATTCGAAAGGATTGTGTACATTGGTCCTTGGCCCACGGTGCGACGTTCGCTGGCAAGGCTGCGGCTGTTGTTGCCGATGCTGCTGCTGCTGCTGGTCGAGGCGGCGGCGGCGGCGGCAATGGACGCCGCATCGACGCTGCGCTGTTCCTTGTCGTTTTCATTTTCCTTTTCTTTAGTTTTTTTGTTGCGCTTCGCATTCGGCCGTCCCTTCTTGACCATTGTATTTGTATTTTGTATTTGATTGTGCCGTCCGGCTCTTCACTTTCACGTGTCTATCGATTATTGTGTTACTTAACTTATTTCCTTGTTTTATTTATATTATTATTTTTAACGCTCAGTTCTTCAAATTGTACACAGCGCAGTTGTATTTCATTTTTTTTTTAGATGCCAGCGAAAAAACACAAGCGTCGCGTTCTTCTGCATTCCGCATTCCACCCCATTCGTGCTGCCGTTAATATGATTTTTTTTTTCATCTGGTTCTGCCAACTTGTCGCAAATGCTGCCGATGTTTGCGTCGATCATTTCTGCTGTCGGGTAAATTCAAATTTAAAATTGAGGTCACTGATTTTTGTATTTTATAATTTTATAAGTTGGGAAATATATTAATATATTTATAATTTAGTAAAGCACGAGCTGTTTAATCAGAAAATATTTTGTATGCGACAAATACAATTAATTTAAGCCATGCCATACAGCTATTTTTTATAAGCAATTGCTGCATTACAAATGCTTACTGCTACAGCACGAATTTTAATTTCTTTCCGTTTCAATTGTTAATATGCAAATATGATATATTTTACCATTTTCTAATTTAGTTTAAGGATTATTATACGGATTTGTATTGGATTTTCGACCTTCTTTTTGTTTAAGTACATTTACTTCAATTTTTGTGAGAATTTATCGAAACAATGCCTTTTCAGTCAGTTATTAATGTAAATGTTTAGAGAAATCGAGATTATTGTTCAACTAAAATGGCGAGCGGAACAAAGCGCGTCTACGAAGCTCGCTCCAAATACCCGGATCGTACCAAAAACATTGAAAATTCTTTCGCGCCTTTGACGGTCGTAATAAAATCTCTGGAAACGGGCATTTTGCTGCTTAGCTCAAAGGAGGAGCCCGTATTACAAGTTGTACTCAGTCATTTGGCGGAGTTTGCTCGAAAACAGGATGAGAATATAGTGGAACTGAAGAAACAGCAGTTGTTGGAGGTGCTGATCGAAAAGGGGATCTATATGTATGCGGAGAATGTAATCATCCGCCGCTTCGCATTGTTCCATATCACTCTGGTGCTGGATAACACGGAACTGGGCGAATACGAAACGGAGAAGATCGCACAGCTGCTCGACGTGTGCTTTAGGTTCTATCTGAAGGAGAGCGATGAGTTCTGCATCGAGTATCTGACCTATATAGTCAATTTGTGTTTGCGTGATCCGAAAGTGGCTCAGAACGTACTGGAAAATATTGAATTTCTTGAGAAGTTCAAGAACATATTCATTAACTCGGATAATCCAGATACCGTACTCAATTCCATTGAAGCTTTGCACAAAATTCTACAAGTCCAAAGCGCCGAGGAGATGCTTGAGTTTACCACCCTGCCGGGCTTCCCTGTTGATCGCATTATCTGTGAGCTGACCAATGAGTTCCTGGAGATCCGTTTAGCTGCCATTAAGGTGCTCAAGACCCTGCTGGCCGATACCAGTGACGAGAGTGTCTTCGAGCCAGTGCATCGCTGCTTCTTTGTACTGCAGCAGCTGGTCAAAGCGTTCTGTGCGAATCCCAGGGCTCCCGACGCCCTTGGCATTATCGAAGTGATGGCCACGGCTCTGCGCTCCGAGAAGATGACCAAGCTGTTCTTTGAACAGAATCTCTTTGACCAGATGGTGGAGCATCTGAAGGAGGATATGGACTTTCTGCCAGCTGAAGTCGTCTGCACCATCATTTCCATATTCGCCGAGGCGGCCAAATACGAAAGGTACCTGCCCCGCATCCACAATGCCAACATTACGCAAATGTTGCTGAAGTGCCTGCTGAACAGCAAACCGGAACCAGCTCCATTTGTTATCATGGGTCTGAATCGCATGATTGCTCATCCGGAGGCACTGCGCACCATTGTCGCGGAGTACGAAAATGGGGCCCTTTCACGTTTGGTTAGCCTGGTGCGTTCGCCGGACGTGTCTATCAAGACACGCGAGCAGGCCGCCGAGTTCATCGGGAGTCTGCTGATCAGCTCATTCCGTAGCACATCCGAAAAGCTAATGGAAATAAACATATCTGAAGCGTTGGCAATCACCCTAAGGCAGGGTTTGCCGGAACTATCGATAGATCTGATATTGTCGCTGCTGGCGATTATCGAGAGCTTGGCCGCCAATGATGAGTATCGCACGACTATGGGCGAATATACGCCGCTCGCTGAACAAATTGCACAGCTACTTATGGTAAATAATATCTATCGGTTAAGGTATCGGAATTATCGTTTATCGATCGATATATATCGCTGCTCGTCTATCGATTTTCATTTATCGATTTATCGTTTCACATTTATAGTCTAAAAATTGCCTTTAACAGCGCTCCTATGCTCACTCCATATTGGTCCACAACATATTCCGCTGCCTGTGCACAATTATCGACGAGGCGCCCGTTCGCGAGGTGCTGCTCAGTAATTACATCGTGTCCTCGATAAAGCGCGCTCTCAAATCTCTGTCCAATCTGGTCAAAACGGCTGTCACCAACTTTATACTACAGACCACACGATTCAATTGTTTCGTAGATGCCTATATTGATCGGGGCATTCTCGAGGTGTAAGTTACTCCAATTCAAATGTGATATTTAGCTGCAGTCGGTCGGCCAGGCTTCACTTTGGCAAATCGTATTTATATCCAATTAAACGCAGGATTTCTTTTCAGACTGATGCTGTTCCAGAAGCATGCGTTCTGCGTTTCCACTTGGGGTCCGGCTATTGAGAGCATTCTATCCAAGTGCCCCACCATGAAGTTCTGTATTCGCAACTGTTTGAGCTTTACGGATATAACTGCTGGCAAGGATTTTTACGTGTCCAAGCGTAAGTTTGAAGATTTCCGCTGCTTTCAGAATATATTGCGACATGACTGTTCGCCGCTGGAGCCTGTGCTGGTGGTGAACTTTGACCGACCCTCTGTGGATGCGGATGATGTGATTTGTGTGCCATCTCATTGCCTGCACGATGTCGATATTGCGGGCGACCAGAAGTGGGCTTACTGCAAGCGACCTGCTGATACCAAGCTGCCTGAATTCCTCGAGGCGCTTAACGAGACCTTGGCCGTGGGTATTATGAGCTTGGCAATTATTTCCGACCAGCATTAACCATTTACTGCCCTTCCAGTTGCATGGCCTTGTGGAGAATCCAGACAGAATCAGACGCAGCATTGACTTTGAGAATGTGGCCAAGCGCAGCAAGATCATAGCCGAGGCCGTCAACAGCGTCATGTCGGAGGACATCAAGATTCTCGATCTGAACACCACCGAGGAGTGCTCCCGCCACGCTGTGCGCTGTCATCTGGAGTCTTTGCGCCACATCTTCCACACCAACTTCATACCCTTGGGCGAGGTGCGCAGCGGCTGTCAATTCGAGCGTGCCATCCTCTTCAAGTGCTTCGCCGATCAGATTGGTCTGCCCTGCACCCTGCAGCGCAGCGTGGACGGTCGCATGCTGTACAACGAGGTGCCGTTGCCTCTGGAAATGGAGAAGGACATACATTGCGACAAGAAGACCTTGAAATTTATGCCCTGGCGAATGCTGCGCCCCACACACATTGTTGACCTTATGTACAATATAGGCGAACTCTACCCCATGCAGTGCCGCCAGGCACTACAGTATTTGCGCCTCTACTGAGGCTCGATTCAAAAGATTTTATTGTTGTTTTTATGCAAAATTTTGATGTTAGCCCCAATAAATATTCAGCAATATTATAGTGAGTCAAGCGGCTGAAATACCGTATCTTCTAGTTAATTTTCTTCTGGGTTTTGTTGGCATCGATTCAGAATTGAATTGCATGAATATTCAGAATATTTTCTGATTCGCTCTCAAAGAATTTAATTTTGTGGCAAACCATTTTTTGTCTTCTTATCCCTGCATAAGCTATCCCGAATCGTATATTTCGATCATTCTCTAAATGCTTCTGTATAATTCTCAACTGGTTTATGTTGTCCATCGCAAATACGCTTGGGTTTGTGTCTTTGCTATCCCACTGCGCATGTCATTATCGCCAGCTCTTTATATCCTGACATTCGCTGTCAAACGACATCAGTTGGTTCTTCCAAATAAACAAAAGTCTGCTCGCGGCTGCTCGGGTCTATAGAATAAGTTGTTTAACTGGCTCAAAAGGTGTTTATTGGCCCAGTTGGAGGCCAACACAGCATGTCCAGAGCTCTTCTCACACTCGCCTACTTTGTGCTCACCTCCTGCTCCATTGTGTTCACGGCCTGCATTAATAATGGTAAGTGCAGCGACCTTCGAGCCCAGCTGGGAAAATCAATAAAGATGCGCATCTCATTGGACAGTGACTGGCACGGGCACCAGCTCGCCCGGATCGGGACCCAATTCGGCAGTCAGCCTGAGCACCTCGCTTACCAGCGGCGGGCATATTCATCGCACGGCGGCGGCCATCGAGCGGGTGAACAAGCTCTGGTGCTATGCCTGTGATACCATGGACGACGGTCCGGCCTGCGTAGATGTCCTTGAGCGCAACAGCACGGCGCTAATGAAGAAGTGCCAGGGCGAGGAGTTCATCTGCATGGTAAGAGCTGTTGCTTACCAGCAGGATTTCTCTAACCTCCTCCTTCTCAAATAGGTCAAGCGCTTCTCGTACACCACCAGCACTGAGAACTCCACGAGTTCGCCAAAGATGTGGTCGCTGGATAGACGATGCGCTGTCAACTGTGAGCCCGGCTGCATTGTTATAGGTGAGCGCACTAAGCTCTATGCCTGCACATCCTGCTGCGAGGAGTCCTTCTGCAATACGGGACGTGGCGGCGCCGCAGGCATATTCCATCGCGAGGCAACGGGCATTGGCACACGCATCTTTTGGCTGGCAGCCCCGTTCCTGGTCAACATATCGCTAATGCTATACAAGCGGCATGCCGGTCATGTGCTCATCCAGCTACAGTAGTCCCTCGCAATGCGGCGCCGAAACAAAAGGCGTGTGTACCTCATTGAATTTAGCCAATTTAAGTAGCCAAACCAAACACTCAAGTTGCCCAAAGCTATTCACTAAACTAGCTAACTGTACCAGTTTGTTTGCCCGCATTTTACCTACTACTAGATTTACATATACAACTATTCTATATACTAGCCTGCATAAGAGAACTTGTGTGTGTACTTGTGTATAGTTAGCTAAGGGTCATGGTGTGATAATAAATGATTCCAAGTGTCAGTCAGCACGAGTATTTATTAAGTTAGCTTAAGAGGGCCGAAGAGTCAGAACAAGTTGTGAATTTTAAATGCATTTTAGCAACTTCTGCAGTTGCTTATGTTTATGCTTAATCCTCG